ATAAGAACGGACAGTTCAGCGAAGAGTCTCTTTCTGGTGAATTCATTCACTTAGCTATACAAATGTAATTACATGTAATTATTTTTGTACGTGTGTCAAGACTAGTTGTGTCTAGTAAGAACAGTGTTAGTTTGAAGTTTGTTTACGTTATCAAAATACTTCAAAATAGTGATGAGTAATCAGGTTATACCTAGGGTGTGAAGATTAGTACGATTAGATTAAGGTAGCGTACTAAAATGTAAAGGTCCAGAAAAAATTGGATGTTAATGAGACAGTATAAAGATAAGTATGTAGTAGGTGATGAGAGTGAACAAAAGGTTGGTTAAAATGATATCAGAAAATGTCATATGAAAACGGGCAGAAAAACATTCATGACAAAATATCTATAAAAGTTAGGCTTGAACTTATACACCATGTAGAAGGTGGGTACGAAGAAGTTTCTTCTATATACACATTTATCAGGGTTTCCATTCGAATCATTAAGGCCTCAGCAATGCAAAGTATATCGAGGCACATCGCTTTCGAGAAGCTTCTTTTGACTTTGTAGATACCTGTGAATAAATTTTCCTTACACACTATGAGTGGCCATTTTTGAATATATATTCAGTTATAGCACTCTTTATTGATCCGCTGTAAGCAATCTGTAACCAAGTAAGATAATGTTCTTCGAATCCTCTAAAATAAAACAAGCGTTGAATAACGTATATATCACTCTGCACAGGAGCAGTCAGGTTGGAAGATACACACAGAAGGAATGAGATGAGATGGTTTATCTTTAGAGTTATTGGAGAATAATGAGTGGCAGGAGAATACTAATTCTACTGTAGCAGTGAAGAGTGTTCTTTACAACGCGTTTAATATTCTCTTCTTCAGGGTGTTGACCGGAAGTTCACCTCTGAACGACACATTTACCTATAGTATCCTCTTCGACACAAAGATGTGGTTTCATGTGTTTATCTATAATGCATGGGGTGTGGCCATTTTCAAGTAATGGTTTCTTCATCTACCAACTCAGAACTTCATATTCTTCAGATCCTATTCGCAAGTGATATGATCACGTCCCGCTTACGATTAATGGGTACCCAACTGTAATTGTTTGTCAACTTGACAAACTGTAAGCCTAATTTAATTCATTCCTATCATCTTAAGGCAGATGTTTGACAAATGCAAAACTTAAAATAATCGTTTCTTCGTATTCATAAATGTTCAGACAACTACAACCGCATTCCAATACAGCTATGCTGTCCCAGAGGAAGTAACCAAGAGCCAATCATCTCACATACCAAGGCTACTGATGGGTGTCAAATGATTACTGCCAACAAATATTTTTCTAAAACATTTTCTAGTAAACAATATTGTACCAGGGTATCGTTTATCAACTTAACATGAATTGAAAGACTATATATATATATATATATATATATATATTATATATATATATATATATATATATATAATTACACACACGGGAACATTCATTGTCAAATTTCGGTTAAAATTTACCAGACCTTTCGATTGTTACAGAATGCCGACTTTATGTACATCATTCGGAGCTGTACTAGGCAGTCATGGCGTAAATAGCTTAATTTTGAGGTTTCTAACGTTGCGGTGCTCAATGTTCATGCAACATCGGTTAAATGTCAGTTTGAAATGGTTAATGAATGCCAACAAGTATAAAGTCAAAAAACTGATCCATGAAATCGAACAATCAAGATTTTATTTTGAGCACTGTGGTAGTAAGTAATTCTATACTACTGGATGGGATAAGATGACAGTTTTAAAATCTAATATAACAGGGTGGAGGAAGAGATTGATAACAGAAGCTTTGTTTATTGAATCAACTGTAAATACATGTAATAGGAAGGATTCAACACCTGTCCGTCCACCCAAGATATCTGGAAAATTCTACTACCCCTACGACAAATAGGAGAGAGCAAAGAAAAATATAAAACTCAAGTTTCGAAGTCGTGTGATTATGATTGATGAGATGATTATGAGGAATAAATTTTGTTCGAAACGTCATCCAGTGAATAATAATACTGTTTTACTGTGTGATACATCTAATAAACAAACTAATATGGAATTTCTTTCGTGTCTTTTTTCGTTAAAGTAGCATATATTCTAATCCAGGTAACTCTTTTCCTCGATAAATGAAGATACTGCGGATTATTTTTACACAAATTTAGGAGTCCAAACAAGTAGTCTCTAGCACTGGTTTGCTACTTTTTACAAAAGAATCACAGTATATGCAGAAATTTGTTCCTAACTATAATGCTTTCTGGGAAGCGTCTTAATTATTCTCAGGTTGTCCTTCTTAAACGTAACTTCATTGAAACACAATAAAAGAATAAAACGGATACGTGCCTGACACTTTACTTCTAGGATGAAAACGTTGCTTCCCACTGTGTTTTCATGCAGATTAAAATGCGTTGTATTACCGTTGCAGATACTTTCAATTAAAATAATCTCTATAAAATAATGGTCAGAGAAATTTCGCACAATGAATCATTGTATAAACTATAAAAAGAAATATCGATAGGGATAAAAAAACACTAAAATCAAAGAAATTGGACAAAGTTAGGTTCAGAAAGTTCTGACACTTCATTAGTGCACCATCATGACCTCAAAACATACTGAACCAGCCAAAATCCTACGGTTTACTCAACAGATATTCAGAAGAAAACGGAGAGGTTTGGATCGTTTCATCATGAGCTGACATCAGTTAGAGGACCATTGGAAAACATAGGAGCACTGGATAGCTGTTTCATCCCAGTTTTGGACTCCTCAGAAGTACGCGCCCACCGCCAGAGCTCGAATCCAGGACCTTCTTGTTACAAGGCGAGCTCGCAGACCTCTAAGCCACTGGGACCCGATCTAATGGCCAATGCATGAATCCCAGCTTCTGCCAGTTCATAACCAGTAAGGTACAGAAGGTTGAAGGTGAGGCAGTAACTCATCGAAGAAAACATTGCGAAGTGGTCGCACTATGTCATGAATTGGCAGACGTACGAATTCATGGGCCACTGGATCGGGTCCCAGTGGCTTAATGGTCTATGAGCTAGGTGTCCTTGTAACCAGAAGGCCCTGGGTTCGAACTTTGTTTGCGGGTGAGTACTCCTGAGGAGTCCCAAACTGGAACGAAACAGTTGTCCAGTGCTCCCTGCAAGTTTCCCAATGGTTCTCTAACTGATATCAGCTTGTGACGAAACCTTCTAACACAATCCCTACAAGAACCAATACCTGAAAAATGAGATGTATTGATTAAATATACAGTTAATTGATACCACACACTGGTTAGGTTGTCGGATGGAACCCAAATGAAAAAGTATCAGGTTTACCTTCTGAAAGTGACATATGGGCAGTCGTATTGCCAGCTAAAAGCATAGCAGAAAAAAAGGTGAAATGGAGATGTCTTGTTGAAGACTTAAGTTATACTCGGAACTCAAGAGACGAATAATAATTATAATACGTCAGATGTGAACTTAATAACGCCTCACTTCCACATTTTACTCATTGTGACCACCAGTCTTTGCACACCACCTTGCTTTACATGAGTGCTTAAAATAAAAGTTTCTATTATCATAATACTAAGCATTTAAATGCTAGTAAAATGTGACTCTATTATAATGAATAGTTAATCAGAGACAAAGTAACACTTGCCAGAACAAAAGAATTAGCCAGACAGCTTACATCTCCGTGTTCTTGCAACAGCACTATCAATCGGTCATGAGGATAGTATTTAAATTTTATCTAAAAAATCATACATATATGATAAAGAACAATAAAGAGAGATTTCATTTGCACTAATATACTTTTCTTTGCTTTTATTAAACTTATCGATTAAATTTCAATGATTACATGGTTTCCGTGACTGGCGATAACAATTCAAACAAACATTTTGATATTATTCTTTGTTGTACTGTTTTTTCTGTTGGATTATTCTGATGTACACGCCTTCAGTGTATGTAGGACTAGCCAGGATGAAATGTATAATTGTCTGTATAGTTGGTTACTTTCCATTCAGGCTTTGTATCCTATCAGTATGCACAGAAATGGTTTTTATTCAATGTTGTTTCAATAGATTGATACATTGAAGTATAGAAAACAAAAATGAAAGAAAATCAACAAAGAGCTGGAACAGAACTGAAATACACTATATGCATTGACTGACATGTAAGAATGAATGTGTAAACGTGTATCTTCTTTTAATTTTAGTAATATCATGCTGTCATTCACATGACAAATACAGAACATTGAAGTAAAGAAAAATGAAAATTGAAACGAACAAGTTATTTCAAAATTGTAGTTTTTTATATTCCACTAAACGAAAGGAGAAAATATTATTAGTTTAGAAATATTTTAATTGAATTATCGAAACGAGAAAAAAAAATAGTGTTCATATTTATTTTTGGTTTGTTTAAACAAATGTGAAAATGATGACAAAGATCTTGTTTTAATCGAAACCTTGAAATTTATGGGCTCATAATTTGAACAGTGATAATTTTAGAAAAAAGAATGCGGAAAAAATGATGAATAAAATTCAACTCACCGCATTGATCTTTCCTTTGTGTGAAAATTTCATTCTTAGAAGAAAACTCAAAGACAGTTTTATTATATTAACTACAGAAAATTAGACACGTAATGTGTACTAGTTGAGTGAATTTATTTTTGAACGCTTAGAATTTTTAATGTCACATTTGTGAAATGATAGCATACGATCAAATGGTTTTTTTTAATGGTTTTACAAAGCGAATTGATAAAACCCAAGTGTTTTTCTATTGACAGTTATGATTCGATGGTTAAGATGAAATGAAATTCAAAGATAACAGTTTTGCATTTTTTATCTGTTTATGAGCAAACATGGAATAAATTGTAGGAAGGAAGAGAACGGATATGGTCCTTGGAATAAACCATTACAGTTATCATTGGTGATAATTAGGTATTTTGAAATTACAGTAAGATGCATAATAATTTGTTTGTTTTTTATTTTCATTTAAAATTTATATTAAATCTTCTTCAGCTGATTCTGTTTTTTGACTAGTTGTATATGCACGTGAACTGGCTAGTTGTGATTGTCCTTCTCTAGGTGGTGGAGGCGGTGGGGCTGTCATTCGTTTAACTTCATCATTTTCACCTGTAGTCTGTGAGCTTTCATGCCGAGGAGATGAGTCATTATTGTTGTTGTTATTGTTGTTATTATTACTATTATTATTTCCGCTGAAATTTTGATGGAAAAGACTTAATAGATCAATCGGTAATGGGAAAATTATAGTAGAATTCTTCTCATCTGAGATACTGCTCAAAGTTTGCAAATAGCGTAATTGAAGAGCAATAGGACATTCTCCAATTTCCATAGCAGCAGCTTTTAAAGCTACTGATGCACGTTGTTCACCTTCTGCAGCAATTACCTTGGCTTTTGCTTCACGTGCAGCTTCTGCTTCAGCAGCCATAGCACGTTGTAATTGAATAGGCAGACGTACATCTTTTATATCCACACGTTCAACTTTAACTCCCCATGTCTCTGTAGCTGTATCTAGACAATCTTGCATTAAATGTGCTATTTGTTCACGTGCTGTAAGAAGTTGATATAAATCCACTGTACCCAGTACATTTCTCAGAGTGGTCTGTGCTAGTAATCGTGTAGATCTATTTGCATCTTCCACGTTTACAACTGACATAACAGGATCGAAAATACGATAGTAAACAACAGCATCAACAGCTACAGTGACTGAATCTTTTGTTAGAACTTCTTGAGTTGGTACATTGAATGTAAATGTTCGTAAATCAATTGTTTTGACATTATCTAAGCATGGTAAAATGAATACAAGACCGGGTCCTTTAGGAATTTCTGATACCAATCGTCCAAGACGAAATACAACAGCTCTTTCATACTGTGCAATAACTTTGAGACACATGAACAAAGAAAAAGGTAAAGTTAATAAAGCAGCTAGATATGCTAAAAATTGCATTGCAGCTTCACAACCGAACATCCCTTTATTGCCTTGACGTTTATAATTTCCTCTTTTCCCCAAACGTTCAGGAACGAGAGAAAATCCACGTGCCAAGGATGGCATGGATGCTGGTACACGTAGTTGGGAAGCTTCATGTGCATTATCATTATTTCCTGATCTTTCAGAATCATTGCCTACATGGTAGCCAGTTGGAGCAGGTGGTTTGCGTGTACTACTATTCATTCCTTCAGAATTTGTATTCAGTGTGTCTGAAGCAAATGAAACTGACGGCATATTATAAAATCACGGTTAATGTTTCTTTCTTTGTGAGAATGTTTACTGATAGCCTCAGAAAGGTATTTTATGCTTATTCATTATTGTAGTAAATGCTTAGTTATTGAAAATGATTTAGTTTTTAGTGAAGTTTTATGAACCGCATAAGCAATGCCTTCCACCTGATATAGATAGCAATTAGTTTTTGTATAATACTCATATGTGTTTATCACACTTCCTATGACCTTCTAGTATATATCCCTTCAACAATAAATTTAAGCTATTGATTTATTCCAGCTGTTTGCAAGACGGCCAATCATGTTATTAGGATAAATGTTAGACTGTCTTCATTGACCTGTCTAGCCATCACAATCAAAATCACTTTGATGGAAACCAATATAAGAATTATATTGGTTTTTGTTGGCAAAGTGAAATTCCTTGAGGAAGAGTAAAATGAAGTAATGCAAAAAATCCTGTTTCAAAATAATTTAGACAAAAAACTACTATTCTAAAAACAGAATTTTAAAGATGATATGGAGTTTAAATACCCTATATTATTACCTCTTCCTCATAGGACATCGACTTCCATCTTATTGGCAGAATGGTCAACATATTCGTTCCATAATCTGAAGATCCTGAGCTCGATCCTAGGTGAGGTCATAGGTGAGAAATGATGAGACTTAAACTTGGATGAAACAGCTGCCCAATACTTCTTATCTTGCAGCAGTTTTCTAAGTGACGTCAATCTGTGAACTAGCTTGATCTTTCTGTTTGACGGTATATTTTCTGACTACATACAAATACAAGTGACTTTAACAGTTTCAGAGTGTTACATGTATTTGAAGCTATATTTTACTCAATGAGAAGTCAGATTGGAATTACAAAATAGGTCCAAATGGTCTCTGGATGTAAGCCAACGCTTTCTGTAATCCTTTGTGTCGTAGTGCATTGTGATCCTCAAGCAAAAGGATGTACCTGTGTTTTAGTGCACTACAATCAACTACCTAGAATTGTTAAAGATTAACTACGGATCTTTAATACAAAATAAAGTGTTTGTAATAGCTTGAATACCTGGTCTATAGGTGCATACCAAAAAGACAACAGAATTCTGAAAAGATAACATCAGCAGCAGCTCCACATTATGCAGAAATTTACTATTATTTAACGCAGTATTTATTATTAATTCATATCTGGTATTTCAGACTATACTGAAACGTTTACTTTGGAAAAATATGTTAATTATAGGCAGATATCTGAATTATAATAAATTTAAATTTTGACCACTATATGACCTCATTTAAAGAAATTTGAAAAACCATGCAGAACTTGACAACAGTTTCGTCTTTCATCAGGACTCTTCAGCGGTAGGCACCCGTGACTTCACCAGGAGTCGAATCCGGGACCTTCAGGCTACAAGGTGAACCTATATATGTTTTAGCCAATGGGTCGAAATGCTATTACTCATCAGTTCTAACTTCTACCGATTCGCGACTAGTTAGGCGACCGCCAACCAATGTCATCGGTAAGTATTTTCCTCACATTCAACTTGGTAGGTCCTGCTGATCATGGCTTCCTACTAGAACTTCAGGAAACTTCAGTCTGCAGTGGGTTAGTAGTGACCATTTGTTGAAGAAGCAGGATTTATGATGGTATTATGGTACAAAGATTATTTAAGCAAGTCAACAGATTGAGCGATCAAATATATTCCTTATCAGTTAATTCCTCATCATCGACTCTAGGGAGTCCAAGTTAATTACGGAATTTAAGATCAAGTTATTACATAATCAAAAAATTTGTAAAATAATGATGACTGAGAAGAATAGGATGACTCGGTTGAATTACATAAAATGCAAACAAGTTAATAGAATTAGCTAGAATTACAAAAATAACAACGCCAAAAGATAGTTATAAGGGGAGGAGCAAAATCGTTTTTAAAATTTAATACATATTATGTAGTTGGCCATGACGAAGAAAGGGGGCTGTACAAGTTTCCTTTGAACACACATTTAACTTGTTCAGATGAATTTCGATTGCCTCTACTGTATTTAAAAGTAGACTGTGCAAGAGGTTTAATGAGATACGATAAATAGCATTAAAAGCTTTGTTAGAGCCAACATGATGTCCAGTATATCGACGATATGAGCCAGTATTGTACTGCATATAGCTTTATTTGGACCTCTGTTAAACGAAGATAGGTGTTCGGAAACTCGATGATGAACCTGATATAAGAATGAAACTTGTGTACTGTGGTAGAGTATAGTTCCATTATAGGTAAAATATATTTTGATAAAGTCTCACAGTGTTATACAGTAATATTTACTGATAACTTTTCGAGCACAAACTCTTGCTTATAGTCATATCAATCATACCTTGACTCTATTAAAATAAATTTAACGATGCTGTACTTGCCTTATCATACGCTCTATGTAACTGGCTCTGCTCCAGCAGTTATACGGGTAAATACACATGGAAGAGGTGAAACAGGATAGTTCTTCTTTATTTCTTGAACTAAATATTGGTTGGCTAGTGAATACACAGAATAGCTAGGCTACGTTGAAAATGCTTTTGAAGGCCCTTTGTAGGCGTTTGTGATAAGATTTGCTATTGATATCACCTGTAAATTGCAATCTTGGGAAGAAAGATTTTTTCGGAATAATCGATATCTTTGACTTTCTACTTTCTGTGTCCATATGTTTATTCACAATTTTAGTCGGATATCCTTTTCTACTTAGTAGATCACGAATATTACTGAGTTCTTTTTTCATCAGTGTCTCATTTGAACAGATCCACTCTCTTCTCCGATGAACCAAACATCTAACATCGTATCTCTATAATACAAACGTAATTTTGGCCTGATGGAGAAGCAGGATTTATAATGCTATTATGACACACACACATAGTTTACCACTCACAAACTACTCACACTTTAAATTCTGATCAAAATTATGCTGAAGACTGACTCTTCATCACAGTGATAACATTCCCATTAAAATAATAAACGTGTTATTAGAAATTCATTTGTAGAATATGCATAATGGCCTAGTGGTTCATACCTACATCTAGAAGTAGATTGATCATTAATGCAGACAAAGAAAATGTTTAAGTGTGAAAGATAAGACATTCGATTAGTAGATAAGTCGTAAAGTTATGATGAATAACAAAAAAAGCTTTCAGCGTAAATACTTTATCAAAAACTTCTGCGAAAAGCATTTCTCTAATCTATAGTAAACAACTAGACTTTCCGTAATCACATGTGAACAGTTTTTCATACGGCAAATTAAATTTTAAACAGTTGAGTGTCAATCAATTTCCTTGATTTGCCTACCGGTAATCTCTTCAGTGTTCGGTATATTAGCATTAGTTATATTTTCCATCATGATTATGAAAAGCTTCTGTGGTAAGTTTTGTGGAGTACATTACAATATGATTGTACACTTTTTGTTAGTTGTTTAATTTAGAGACAGTGTACATGATTTTTGTTTAAAATGATTCATGTTTAAATAGATATAACCTCCGTGTACATTTCGAAATACACTATACTGTTGGAATCTTCGCCTTCTCTCTGGCCATTAATGCTTATTTGCTCTACTCATACCGTGTTGTATACTTTGGATTTATTGCAAGAGTCTATTATCCTTATCCGAAGATAACTCTACAACCGGTCCACAGCATCTACCAGCAGACGCAATTCCAGCAGTGAACGCTCCCGTGGATTATATTAATAATTTGTAGCAGCCGACTTTAACATTTTATCCAAGTAACCTTTTTATTAATATAAATCATTACGGCATTTTTGGATAATATATTGTTACTCTATCATCTCATTGACTTGGGTTTTTATTCGCATATTTGTAATGTCATCATTGATTTTCATCATAAATTCTGATCAAATGTTGTGTGCTAACATAAATCGTTTGGTAGTGCAACTGTAGTAGACGATATACTTGATAATGAAATGTTTATTTGAAATTTGGTATCTGTATATAGCGAAATTCTGTACACCTTATCTTCAAATCACTATTTACCCAGATCTTTCGTGTCATGCTACTTCTGTCCTACTTTCATATTGTGTTTCTTTCACGTCTTCCATGTATCTCCGCAACGCTTTCATTCATTTCATTCACTTTCTTTGATATCAAATCTACTTTCTTGCTATTTGATGTGTTACCTTGATGGACTTCTCTTTGTATACTACTGATAAATAATATCACTACCACACGCCACCATTGTCGGTGACACAGTGTTTAGGACTCTAGCCGACCATGTAAATGGTCCGGAGTTCGATCCCGTGCCGACGCACACCTGATATCTACGGTCGGCCTGCAAAATTTGGACTACCGATATCACATTCTGAAAATTTCATATCTGTACCAAAATATACGGTGTGGAATCAAGCTGTAATCAAAACTAAAAAAACATTTATAACTGGGTTACTTATATAACATGGTACATTTTTGGTCCTGCCAATAGTTTAGGTAAATAGCAATCTCTTAATGATAAAAATACTATGTGGTTAGACAGTTAACTTTTACCTTACCTTGTTGCTAAACTTGTCTTATTTTGACAGCTCAGTATCACATTCAGAATGTAGTGTGGTACTTGCATGCGATACAACGAACGATAAAACATGGCAATCAAGCATATGCACTGTCATGACTATTCGCTTATGCTTTACATTCTGACTCATCAGTATGAATGGTATGTATTGGTATCAACCACCCACAAATATCATGAATTTTTGTTGACTGAAATGTGGAATATAACTGGTACAATCAAAGCAGTGGTATTTACAAAAAAAGAGATAGTGGAAAGTGAACAGGAGACATTTAGTTAATAACCAAATTAGTAAATATGTATATTCATTTTAGCTACATACCCTTCCATTTTATCTTCTGATTAATCTAATAAATGCAAAAGCCCACTTAGGAATAGAATATGAGAGGGAAGAATTTATAAATTATTCATTTACTGATCAAGAAATGTAGTATAATTAATTATTTGACGAAGTTACTGACTTTTAA